CGGTCTTGAAACGCTAACTCTACTAAACTACCGCAGTAATATCACGAGTTAAATTGACTAGCAATTTAACAAATTTTTAATGCTTATTCGCATCTTCGAAACGTCTTAATAATGATGAATAATATATTTAGTTTAGTAGAGTTAGCGTTTCAAGACCGGAAATTTTTCGGCGCGCGTTTCTGTGGGACTACATACGTAGTATATAAATTCACATAAGAATCATACAAGCATTAAGATCCAGCTAGACCGTGTAAGGCTTCGATTAAATAATTTTAATTTTATGTTAAAAAATATATATGTATTTTATGTTAATATATATACAGGATGTATGAAAATTATCGGCTAATCGATCACGAGCAGGTAGAACGGACCGAATTGAATCGAAAAATCTTATACCATTTTGTAGGTTGCGCAATAGTTAACGAGATATTAACGTTTAAAGATAGCCGAATAAGCAGGTCCGACCGGCCTACTGCTATCGAATATACAACCTACCGTCCCCACCATGATAAAAATACAAGGGTATGCTCATCAATTGTCTAAAACTCGTTCAGCTTGCGCATGTCCTTGCCTACGTCATATTCGGGTACGCGTTGATTGGTCCGTTCTGATTCGGGTGCAATCGGTGGTTATCGGTCGTAATTTATCATGGCGTCCATGGCGTAGTGCACGTTGTCATCGGTAGAAGTTAATGTTAAAAATATTTTCACGATGACCTGCATAGTGAAAGAATGCGGCAGTTATATGAAAAAAACAAAAAAAACTGAGGGAAGTAAAATTAAATATTTTACCTTTCCAAAACAATCTGAAATTGCTGAACAGTGGCGTAAGCCACTCGTTGTGACGTAAGCAAGGACAAAAATCTGATTGGTCATGCGCATGAGCATACCCTTGTCTTTTTATCATGGTCCCCACCGATCGCACGGCACGCGAGCCGCTGGGAGTGCCGGAGTGGGAACTGCCACTATAAAGGGCTTCACACATGAAACGCATCACAGAGCATAAACATAACATAAGGCCGCTAAACCAATGAGCATCTTATGTAAATCAATATGGCGACATTATGCTAGATGCTCATTGGTCCAGCAGTCTTATGTTATGCTTATGCTCTGTTATGCATTTCATGTGTGAAGCCCTTAAGAGCCCAGACACACACTCTTGCATAACGCATAATGCATAGTGCATAAGCGAATCAACTAATCAGAAGCTTTCCTTTCCTCTCATTCCATGGAAAAG